TCACGTGGTGCTGGAAGTCGACCCACCTGCTCGCGGTGGTCTTCGTGCATCTCGGCGAAGGCGTCAGGGACAGGTGAGCCACAGGAAGGGGTTGGTCACGGCTCCCATTCAAAGGCCCAACGAGTCATTCGGTTGGTCGTTTGCTGTCGAGGGACAAAAAGCAGTTAGACTGTCCTGTTAGAGTAAGCATTACTTAGTGACAGATGCCAAGTGATTGGGAGTATTCGCTTGCACAAAAAAAAAAAAAAAAAAAATGTTGAGTAGAAAACGGATGATTTTGCTGTCGGGCGATTTCCGTTAGAGAAGGGACTCTTATTTTGAAGAGCAGACTAACGAGCTATCTTTTTTTGTCAATAACTAGGCTCTATGTTGTAACGATCTCTTTCCAGTTAATCCTCATTATTGCTTTAAACCCATTCTTTATCAAGTTGTTATATCCCAGTCGGCTGAACTCGTATTAAGAGGACTCCAGTTTTGTTCAAACACTTTTTTCAACATGTTTCCATATGGCAAAATTCTTTGAATTTGCTGATATAACATTTACACTTCAATATGTTCAAAAATTCCTAGAACTAGGTAGGGCTGCCTACTATTATGCCTCGGACCTCACTAGCACAGCCACTGATCATCTAAATTCCTTAGATCAGGAAACAAGCATTATGGGGAATGTAGTACAATATTCCCAGAGATACGTTTCTGCTTCATCATTTTTCCTGAATCAGAACAACCTGACATCATCATAGTGCCTGAAATCAAAAAGTCATCAGGTTGTTAAACTTAAATGTAGGGTAAATAAATCTGGGGAAGCAAATAGTCGTTCATCAAGAAATCGACTGAAAAATGGAGGTGTGAAGGAGTTATTGGACGACGTAGATTAAATTTCGCCAGAAAGAACAGTTTTCGGCAACATTGTGCAAAATTCTGACAAAAGAGGGTTGAGTCTCACAGATCGTGTGATGGGTTGAGTGTGCATTAGAATCGAGGCTCTTAGGTCAGCCACTCGAAGGCAAAGAAAGAGGAAGCAAGAATGAGAAAAATTATGATTATTGGTAGTAGAGTAGGAACCTCCTTATCTAAATGAAGGTTAATGGTGAGGATACGGTATCCGAGATACGGTAATGAATATAATGAACATGAGAAATACCTATTATCTAGTCATATTTAAACTACCCTTGAATACTGAAAAAAGGCACTTAAGTTTGAATGAACAGGTAGCGATTAATGGGTTACTCGTAGTTAAAATAATTTTATCTCAATATATAAAAAAAAAGGAAGGAGGGAACCTTTAATAATTCAAAGAATTGTAAAATGCACACAAAAACTTCTAAAGAGCAAGTCTCAATGTATAAACTTCAACTTAAAATAGATATTAAGCAACTACAAAAATATTTAACAGTTAATATGACAAATTCATAAGAAAATATCACACAGGATCATAAAAAGAAAAAGCCACGTGATGGTGGCTCTGAGAACAAGGCTTGCATTAAGCAACTACAAGCAGGTCAGTACCCTTGATCTCCGAATCAGGAAGATAACACCACTGACATAGTCTAAACTTAAGGAAACAATGACCAAGTAATAATCCCCTGCATATATTGGAGAATGTGCTTTGGTTACGGCTAGCCATGCCTGTGCAGGTGGGCAGGGGAGAAAATAATATAAAAAAAAAGAATGCGAAATCACCCTGTATTGGCGAAGTTTGTCAAAGAGTCGTGAGTATTCACCTGTCAAAAGCGTCGTAGGGGTCCTCAGATAAGGGAGCCATTGCTGGCCACTAAAGAGGTACGTAGGTCGTCCCGTGACTTATCCATGTAAGGTGATGGGTTCAGGGCGTTACTTTAGAAGAATACGCTGCAACAGGGATAATCTTGAAACCACCTTACTGAATTAGTTTTATGTGGCTTGTGATGAGGAAGAGAAGTGGAAATAGAAGGAAAGATGGGTATAGGACATAGGTATAGGACACCGGGAAATAAAGGTAAAGGGAATCAAAATTATCGTGGGAAAGTACAAACAGATAGCTAAAAAAAAAAAAAAAAAAAAAAAACTGGTATAAGCTAAAGAATAAGAAAACACTGTGGAACAAAGGACAAAGAAGCAGAACTGTTTGATTGCATAATCACACTCGCTATCGAAGAAAAGCTGGAACTTGTCCAGTGCTCGAGGCAAGAGCACGATGATACGAGCTCGTAAAAATAAACATTGGAGCTGCCTGGCGTGCAAAATGGCCGGGTGGTCTGTGCAAACCGAGAAGTACCGGTTGTGTACACCTGCAAATTGGGGGATGGGGTCAGGATTCTTCGTGCAAACATGAACAAGATTAGTAAAAGCCCCCAAATGAACTAAATGTGACCAAAGTTTAAATAGTTTTACAGAACAGTTGTACCAATACCGGGCACACGAAGCAAACTAGTACCAACCTGAGTGAGTTAGCAACTTCCGTGATATGATTTATGTTTCCAACAAGAGTAATAGCTGGGACGCCTGCGAGGTGTCCAGGTTCTATCTCACTTTCGAAGCTCAGGGACAAAGAGACAGCCCGTCTGAAAATCGGGCCCCCAGTTAGTGTACGGGTCCCAGCTTGAAAACATGGCTGTGGGGGTTATGTGGATCAAGGCTGGGGAAATGGAGTCACGAAAACAAGGCTGGGAATGGAGCACGTAACAAGGCCGGGGAAATGGAGTCACGAAACCAAGGCCGTGGAAATGGAGCACGAATACAATACTGGGTGAAAGGCAGCCAGAGAAACATGGCAAATAAATACCATGGAATACGTTATGAAATGGGCGACCTTAGAATTAAAATACATAGATATTATTAGGAAAGACTCGCTGAAAACTGGGATCAAACTTTAATGAAAACCATATCAGTGAAAGTTTGCAATCTGGAAATATGATCTAAAAAAAAAAAAAAAAAAAAATCCCTATTCGGACAAATGTATTCCCCCCCCCACCCCCCCCCCCCCCCCCCCCCCCCCCCCCTCTCCCCCCCCCCCCCCCCCCCCCCCCCCCCCCCCCCCCCCCCCCCCCCCCCCCCCCCCCCCCCCCCCCCCCTTCCCCTGAGGTAAATGTAAAAAAAAACATACGTTTATAATGCTATGCTGCACTCCTATCGAATACTAATTTAGAGACTAGAAGCCGCAGTTACTTGCTGTATTAAGCTCCTTCATGCTGTGTGAATGCAAGGATGAGGTCAACTTTCGAGAAAGGACACCGGAGGAAAGGAGAAGGGCAGGATCTGCTGGGATGTAGTCGCCGTCTACCCGAGGAAACCATCGATGAACGGGAAGCATCCCACAGCTGCAGGGGGGAAAGCCAACAGATGGGGGGTGGTCAGGAGGATCAGCAGGATTAGGACTAGTAAGATCAGGTGGAGGAGGAGGACCAGGAGGAGGACCAGGAGGAGGACCAGGAGGAGGACCAGGAGGAGGACCAGGAGGAGGACCAGGACGACGACCAGGAGGAGCGGACAAGAAGGTTGAAGATGACTTTACAAGGAAAAAGAACAGAGCAAGAAGATGATGAGAGAGTATTTGTGGAAGGAAAAATGCGAAGGCGAGCATAACTGGAAGGGACTTATACAAAAAAGTTTCTTTTTATTTTTTCTGCATGATATATTGCCCTTCAATAAGCATTTAGAGGAATGCATATATCAAATTGTAAGCCAAAAGTACCGGTTAGAAAGATGAGCAGCCCAAGAATCTGCATGTTTTTCGTTTTCTATGTCAATCCTATCAAATACGAAAACAAATCTGAAAAAAAAATTACCGGCAGTTTATTCTTAAGCAACTAAACCACCGAGGGCATGGGCAGGAAAATATGAACGCTAACCTGCAGCGGTATAAAGCATAAGCGAGTTCTAAATCGAACGCCGCGGAGAAAGTCCAGGAGGTGGATGTCCCTGGCAACCCACCTCCTGGCCACGGAATGGCAACTTCGTGGTGTTGCCCGTGAATAATTAGGGCAAAGGGCGGATCGGACTGCAGGATGGCACGGGAGAAAGTCCTGGGCGGTGAAGAGGGCATGTTGATTTTTTTGGATCGCAGGTCAATTAAACGTCACACTTTTTAGGGAGTCAGGATTATCTTAATTCAATGATAACAAGGCCTAGGATAACTGCACACTAAGCCACGGAAACAGAATAAAAGGCTCTCATAGTACCATTCCCAATAAAGCATTCTTCTTTTTAAAACCCTATTGGAACATCTACGGATCCACTAGTTAGATGTAAACTTATTCAATCCCTGATAAACAAATGCAATGGCCAAATACCACAAATATATAATATATAACCTACACGGGAATACGGCGTCAGGATTGGTAGTGACGGACTGCGCCCGCTGGCCTGCCCGAAGGAGAGTGACCTTATCTGGGGCACCACCGAGGTCAGGATGTTGTACTGGGCACCACCGGAGGGCCAGAGTTATGGTCCTTTCAGGTCATAGGTTACCAGGCAGTAGAAGCCATCTCCGTGCGCAGGAATCTTCGTGAGCAAAAGTCCCAAGTGGAATAACGAGCTTAAAGCAAAGTGGCTGTTAATACTGAAAGTCGGGCAATATCTAATAATTAAAAAACGATCTTGAGAAATATTATTTAATCCCGAGTGATAAGCTTCTCTAAGATTAAATCATCCTGGTATGGCAAATAATTCAAAACGAACGTCACCCCAAAATTCAGAACCAATAGTAACTAAAAACCGATTTTATTCCCGAAAAAAAAAACAAAAAATAAGAGCCAATGGAAATCGGTCCGTTTCGAACGTCTAGCGCACGTCTCGTCCGATGCCTCGAATGACTTACCAAAGACGCCCAGACGTTCGGGACGACCAGCACGAACGGGTGGGTCAGGGGGGCAGCGGCGGGTAGCGTCCAATCCCCGGAAAGGTAGTCGTCGACCGTGGATGAACACCATGACGGGGTGTCCGGCCTCTGCATGCGGGCGAGGAGGGGCAGCGTGATCTCGCCTTCGTGGGGGGATTAGACCACTGCTACTGCTGTTAATCTATACTACTTCCTGCTGTGAATATGATATACTGTGCTGCTGCCTCGTGTTTGGTAGTGTTGCTGCTAATGCCACGTCCGAAGTACCGTTTAGAGAAGTATTGTTGCTATTAGTCTTTTTTCTATTCCCACTGCACTGTTCCGTTGGCGTTGACTTTAAGGGGACCCACTTTTAAATGAGGAAATGGAGCCAAACGCCTCGGGTACCAAAGTCAGTAATATTACTTTATTGATGTAGTATTAATGTTTTGACGATCATTCTGGGCCCCGAATTTTTTCTGTAGAAACGCATTTCGCCGTTACGAGGAAGATTACTTTCCGGCCTCATCATTATTTGACGATATATAGTTTTGTATAAATTTAGCCTTTTTTAATACGACCTTAATTGTCGTTGGTGTTTCGACAAGGAAGAGATAGAAATCGAAAAAAACACTTGGAAAATCAAAATTTACGAAATAAATAAATTATATACATATTTCCCCAACTTATTTTGTGGAGTAGTTTTTAAAAATCGCAAGAAAAAAGTAATAAAAAATAAATATAGCGGTGTTAACAATTTCGGAATTAGCTGTCTGGATTAAAGCAAGAAACAATCAATAGATAATAACCTCAGACACTGACGAAATGGACGGATAAAGTCCCAAGCCCGGTTCTCTCGCCATTTCGTAATATGAAAGGATCTATGAGGGGCCTTTGTTAGTATTACACTTCTTTGAACCCGATCGGTGATGGTGAATTGTTAAAATAGATGATTGTTATGTGGAGTATTCGTCGTATGGATAGTTGTACACAATAGTAATATGTACGATGTGAAAGAAGAGATGGTTAAAACCAAACTGCGTTTAAGCTGATGCAGATGACGGCTGGCAGGTTTACTAATATTATATATATATATATATATATAATATAATATATACTATATTATATATATATATATGCTATAGAAAGGATGGATCACAAGGCCGGAAAAATACAAATATCCAACTACATCTGTTTACCCAAATTATTAGTGTGAACAACGCAAGACCTAATTGTCGATGACTCAGTTAGGCAGCAGCCCGAAGACTATCTTTTAAAGGACAGGCCTAAAAAAAAAAACAAAAGATATAGGGCCTATTATAGATTCGTCGTCTGAAACTTTCTCCTTACACAAGGCAGTAGAATTTGTGCCTACTCGAAATTACTACGAAGGAGAGCTAGTATTTTCAGTTTCTAAATTCAGGTCTGGAGTGAAATAATAGGACAAAAGACAAAATCCTTTTTGGTTTTTCCAAAGAAATATTAAAAATTTCTCAGCACGGAAATTGCCTAAAATGAAAAAATCTCAGCTCGTTTTTCCCATGGAAATGCCCTAACTTCTGCAGTGAATAATAATAATAATAATGATAATAAAATAACGTTTTCTTACCTTAGCTTCGGGAGTGAAGACACTGAGGTAGAGGCAGTCCTCGCTCCCTACGATCTCCGTGCCCACCACTTGGGGGCACCTCGGGGGGCATTCCACGGCATCCCTGACGCCTTCCCACTCGTCGGCTGCCACGGGATCCTGAAGAGATGGTATTTTTTTTATATAAATTTCACGCAGCCATCCAACCTTGCGATTATTACTCCCTGTTTCAATGTGTCACTACTAAAAAAACATCACATTTTTCTCCCTCCAAAAAGACAAAAACCAATGCATAAAAAAAAGAAAAAAATCGAAGCTTACCTGCAACCGCAGACTCCCGACGGGCGGCCGAGCGTAAGGAATGCCGACGAAGGAGTGGTAGTTGGCGCCCTTGAGAGACTGGTACCGCCTCCCCTGCAGCTTCCCTTGCTTGAGCCTCACCTGCGGGTTCTCTCCGTAGTACTGCCACTGCACGATGCCACCCTCGACTGTGAGTTGCAGTGCCAGAGCGACCAGAAGTGCCTCCGCGAGCATCTGAGGAGGGCAAGTGGGAGGCAAGTTCGTAGTAGCAGTTGTAGTAGTAGTGGAAGTCCCACAAGGGTATTGTTACCGAGAGCGCCGCACCCTCCAGAGACGAAGTCCAAAAACTTGGCTATCAGACAAATCCAAAATTCCAGGCCTAACCTGTCCTACCTTCTATTTATTCCCTTAATTGGGGTGCAAGCCTCCTGCACCCCCCCCCCTTTATTAGAACTCCGTGCCAAATTAGAGAAAGAACTCTGGCTGTGTAAGGGTGTTGTGAACTTTGTCTCTGAGCAGTGAGATGCAGCGGATATGTTCGTCATTCCCCGGTAAATATGAGGCCGCTGCAGATGTACCTGTGTTACTAATGACTATTTTTTAGGCTCTATTAGATGGCCGTGTCCATTTCCTTCTATCTCTGTGCGTAGCTCTCGGTAACATTAACGGAAGAAGCTGAGAAAGGCACAAGAAAATCAATACCTTTGTCTAGTATTCTTCGAGAGTCTCCACAAACACGTGTCCATCCGCCAGGCTTCGTCAGGTGTGTGTGAGTTTGTCATTCTAAAGAAAAAAAAAAGATTCACTGAACCATGCGGATTTGTTTACGCTTCGAAGCAGTGAATGGACCTCGTATTTCAGTTCCGTTCGATTTGAATTGATTTTTGTTCTTTTTTGCCGTTTTATTCTCTGAATGTGTCTATTTATATGGAGTATTTTCGTTTGTCTGTAACACACACACAAAGACACAGACACACACGCACACACACACACATATATATGTGTGTGTGTGGGTATGTATGTGTATCTGCGTGTATGTGTGCGTGTATATGTGTATAAATATTTTTATATATATACATACTTGTATATACATACATATATATAAATATGTATATGTGTATGTGTGTGTGTGTACGCGTGTATGTATATATATATGTATGTGTGCGTGTGTGTGCGCGCGCGCGTGTGTGTATATGTATATATATAGAGAGAGAGAGAGGAGGAGGCTGAAACGTCATGATTGAATTTCATTTCTTAAGGAGCTATTACACGAGGTTGCTTTCAACGATAAATCGGCGGAACTGGTTGTAGTATGTTTTTTTTTTTTTTTTTTTTTTTTTTTTTTTTTGCTAAATATATATTGCAACTCCATTTCCTATATATTTTTTAAAACCGTGTGTTCTTAGTTTTTACAGGGGAAATTTCATTGACATTAATATTGTGCTGACAGATTATGAACACAATTCTACTATTCTTTGCAACCACGCACGAATTCATATTGTTTTTTTTTTTGTTATCGCTGGGCCTCCATTTCTACAGTGGGGGGTGGGTAAGAGCGGGCAACCATTAGACGCATGTTTGTTGCTGAACTACCAGCGCACAGGCGGCGATGGTTCGTTCGCAAGCTGGGAAAGGCCCACAAGTAAGCTTAGAATAGCGGGCTTAAGTCACAAAACTGTGCTGAAAAAAAACCCGCTCGTGTGATCGTTGCCTTTCCTGTGGGTTTTCCTTTCATTCTTTATGTACCAGATTCTTAGTTTTGGTCATGGTTTTTTTGTTGTTTTTTGCGTGTGTGTTTACATATGTGTAGCTTGTATCCTGCATGCTTGATAGCTTCAGAACCCTGGATTTGATCCTTACAGATTCACATGACTGGTATCACTCCTCTACCACAGCTGGTGTTGGCGTATCAGACAAGTTCAGTGTTATGGCTGCTCACCCCCCGTCTCTTAGCCAAAGCAGCCCAAAACCAGGAAATACGGGCCACTCACACAGTCCTCTATCATATAGTTCGGGCAGGGATTTACCGCAACACACACCCTTCTACGAGCACTAGTCCCACAATTACTAGGCAGCATCTAGCTTTTTTTGTTATTTGTTTATTTGCTCTTTTGTGTTATTTTCCCTATAGATTGTAGTTGTTGTTTGTGTTTATATGTGTATAATTATAGTTTGTCTCTTTATCTGTATTTCTATGTATTTTCAGCCCTGGGCGTCATGAGATTCAATAAAACCGATTATTTATTATTTTAGTAATCGTAGTGCTCTTTAGGGCAGACAGCAGACAAACTGGTTGGTTCTCTATTCATTAAAAGTAGGTGCTCCATACGAGAACGCACAGCAGTAAGAGGGATCGTGAACACGCATATACATAAAGCTATACCTAACAGCCTGTTGCACTGCTCCGGCTTGCATATTCATGCATAATTCGTCAGAACATATCAAAAGTTAAAAGAGTGAAATGGAACTTTGAAAGACCTTCATGCAAACTTTATGTTCTCAAAAAGGCACTGTTCATATATATACTATGCTAAACAGGCTTGGGCACACACACAAACACACACATGATTATACAAAAATTTTTTGGTTTCCTTCATAAAACAAATACATAATCATTCATTTAAGAATTATTGCGAACTCGACTCACACAGCGCGAAGGGCCAACTCAAGGGGGGGGGGGTGAGAGGTCTCCAGCCTGGGCGAACTTTAGTCGATTCAGGGAAATTAGCAAAGATCCTTCTGCTGACACACCGTAGAAAGGAGAGACGGGGAAAAAATACTATAGGCCGAAAAACAAAAATGCTGAATAGGCCTACGGTAAGGTCGCTCATGCCCAATTGAGAGAGGGGGGGTCAGAGTAGCCATGAGCCTCAGGAGCCGTTGCACGCCTTGACGGCAAGGGAAAGTCGCCTCTCTCCTCCTCTGTGTACGGTCGAGTCCTCGTTACCCGAGCGCTTAAAGAAGGCATCGAGGGAGTGCCAGAAACCTTCCGTCTCGCTCGTCGACTGGCACGCTTGGGGGGCAGGGAGGGGGTGCAGGTGTTATAGATTAAACATTGTCATTGGAATTATGTTGATGAGGCAGGAAACTAAAAGAAAATGGCTGGTTAGGTTAGTTTCCTTCGTGCAAAAAAGGCCACGGATCCGCATTATGGCTAGTAAATTCAACAACAATTTAGATGCAAAATCACTCCGTTTACAGGGTGAGCGATTATGATCAAAATTTATGCTTTCCAATCTGCCTTCTTTACAGCCATAGTTTACTGTGCAATGAAAAACTAATGCAATGCAAAAAGCGAACCGCTTTACCCATGGAAGTTAAATAATTCCTTGATGATGCTGTAGCCGAGTATACGGTCTCCTGTTTTAAAAGTCTTTTTACTCTAAGGACGTCAGTAAAACGACCACAAAACGCTGATAACGTTTGCAACTTTGAACAAAGGTTATTTTAGCAAAGATTCCTTCATTTTAGCAACCCATCATCAAAGCTGTCACAAAATTCATTAAAAAATAAGTTAAGCCAAAATAACAATACACTTAAGGAGTATAAAAAGTTTCTCCGGATGATGTTATTATAATCAAAGGTCTTTTCCGATATCCATTCGAACAATCCCCAACAAAACCGCCCCAAATTACGAACGACGAATAAAGAGTACGACCTAAAAAAAAAGCAAAAGTACCCGAGAAAGCGGAGGACATTCATAAGGCGGCCGATCGGGTCCGCGAGGAGCGGTCGAGTGGACCACGTGGGAAAGTGTGGCGAGCTGTTGAAGGAATTAACTTCCCATGCTTCCGTCGCTCAAATTTTCGTTGACCTTTTCAACCCTCCCAGACTCTATATTACTTTTCTTAACTCCTTTGGTTCGCGAGAGTTCCACAGGAGGCGGTCTGTTGAAAGCCCACTCCCCCTGTGACGTCATGCGCTCTACGTGGGACCTCGGAAAAGCTGGTTGAGCAAGGCAGTGGAAAGCTATTGGGGGGTGCCATTGCTGTTTGCAGTGGCATTGTCAGGTAATTATTATATCATATTATCACTGGTCTTGTGTAAGTAGCAGCAAGCACCCAAAACATTGACCTATTCCCTCGGCTTGATGTATGGAACACCTCTCTATCATCAAAAGAATGATTATTGTGCTACTTTACTCATATTGTTACAACATATGAGTAAATGTTGACAAATAATTATCGCCATAATAATAGCGGTTCAATCTGTGTTGGACAGTGTGAGAGTGTTCCCTATAATCTATGTGGATGATGTGTCAGAAAGTGACAATAGTAAAAAAAAACATGACTAGAAAAAAAAAAGTGGAAGGGGCTTAGCTATATTCATCTACGAGCAATGTTCTCATCATTAATCATTATTAAGGTCATTTGTCATCACTCTCTATATTCCCTCTCTACTCTTTCCATTTAATTATTCCTCTTGTCTCTTGCACGAATAAGACTAAATGCGAAAAGAAATAGAAAGGTTTCACCATTATTTTGGAAATCCTGCGGGACAAACTGGGCGGTGTGTCTGCCGTCCCCCCGGACGCGAGAGGAGCTTCCAGAACCGAGATTGAGCTCTAGCTTGGGAAGAGGAGAGCAGTCTGTAAAACCAAATAAAGATAGATGGAGATTTATGGGGAGAGAGAAAGAGGAGAGAGGGTAGAGAGAGGGAAAGGGGGGAGGGAGAGAGAGGAGAGAGGGAGACGCTGAGAGAGAGAGAGAGAGAGAGGGGGAGAGAGAGAGAGAGGAGAGAGAGAGATTACACACGCATGTAAGGCTATTCTACAAGGGCGCCCCATCCCTACCCCTTCACTGCGAGGTCGCGCAGCAGCAGAACGGCCGGAGTGCGTGGATCCCACCGCCTCATATCGCCCCACGAGGTCCCGGCTCGACTTGTGCGACGGAGCCGTGGCTCTTCAGCACCAGTGTCCTCTCGCTGCCTGGGTCTTCGCCCTCGCCAGGAACCCGGGGCAGAAGGGAGAAGCAGTTATAGGAGCGGGCAGAGCGTCCCGCACGTTCTCTCCTGTTCGTTTGGCAGGCGCCGGCCATCAGGCTAATCACATAGCCAGGCTCACCTGCCCTGAGGAGCTCCTCGTCGGCGAACTCGGAGGCGGATGAAGAGGCCCGAGGCGCCCTCCAGCAGTACCTGAGCCACGTGTTGCCCGAGCAGGGGAAACGACAGCAGGAGGCCCGGGGCAGGGGCGCGCCAAAACCTACGGGGGGGACCGGAGGACAAGGGGGAGCAACTATTACTATTTAAACAAGTAAGCAAAACAAAAGAGAGGACGTCAGGCAGCGGCAGAAAGGCGGCTCAACCACTTCCGGTTTATGCACTTCCTAACCATTTCGCTGTCATCTCTTCCTCAAAGTAAATTGTCTGTGATTTCTTATCTAAAATATTATGAATTTAACCAAAATCGCTTAAACATTTTCTGTGGTGTGTAACGAACGAGCAGGTTCGAGAAGCCAAGGATACCGTCAAAAATCCTTTGGGTGTAAATCAAAAAAAGGCCGGTTGAGCTAAACGTCGGTGCCTCTTTTTCTAAACGTTTTCTGTGCATCCAAGGGAAGGTCCGTTATTGAGATGTAGAGAACATGTTTGCGAAAAGATGTTATCAACATTAATATAAAATGAGGCAAAATAAAATGAAAGATTGAGTGTCGCCATGTTTTTCCTTTTTTGTTTTAACTTTATTCTTCAGTCCTTTTTTTTTAATCGTATTTTACGTCCGTGCTCATTCATAGCACAAAAAAATCAGGCACATTAAAATATATACTATATGGCTTTATAATATTTGCTACAAACTGTTATTTGTGGATATCATTCTGATCTTGTTATTTGGGGAGTTCCTAACTTCTGAGATGGCTGTGATTATTCACTATGAATGTCAAAAGTAACTGCAATGTATGAAAGTGATGAAAAGGAGGGAGGGAGGCGGGACAGTCCCCCCCCCCCATCCATGCAGGCTCAACTTAGTCCTACGAACCTTAAACTTACTCCAA